AATTATATGATCCATCTGACTTCTCTACATTTCCTCTAGCCTCAAAACCATTTTACATCAGATTTCATTGTAGACTCTCGCTAATTAAATAAAGAGCAATAATTTCCCCACTTATTCTTCCTCAAAAACATACATAACAGAGCTTCCATTTTTGCAGGACGATATTTACAGGATATATAAGTCTGCTAAAATCTAAAAGATCTGAATATCTTTAAAGACCATCATATATCAATCTTAACATCCCCCATTTTCTGCTCCACCAAATTTCCAGATCTGTCAAGGGTTTGATGCTGAGAGAGGATAAGACAAACTAGCATCATTAAAAAAAATTCTCATCAGCAAATCCTCACAAACAGGTCTGCACTCTGCCTCAATATGTGGAAAGACATGAGGATCATTTTTATTGTTCTGTTTTTTTCGCATGATCAGATATTTGGTGTAATAGATGTATTAGAGGTAATGCTCCAGCAATGCTCCAGACTTTTGCATCTGGCCAGTGTAAGACTGAATGACCAGCAGACCATAGTAAATGCAGTAAAAATAATAAATATCTTGTTTGACAAAAGGATGCCCTGCTGTGAGCTACTTTTTTGCATTCCTTGCAGTATTCCACATTGTTACTGCATCGATTGGCTTAGCTTGATTTGAGCGCCTAAACTGACCACAAGAAGCTGATGTATTCTTGACTGTGTTGCGGACTGAAAGCAGTTCAAGCAAAAGAAGTCAGATTCAGTATTGGCGCTGTGTATTGACACACAGAACAGATCCTTACAGACCAGTCATTCGCCTATTATCCCTGAGCAGTTATCTGTTAAACTGATGGAATTCAACTGGAAATATACTGCAGCACCAGCAAAGACACTAATTCAGCAGCTTTCACAGCAAAACTACAGCAACAACATTCCTCTCATTCCTCTTAAATGCTGTGAAAATGCTGCCTATCAACGTGAAAAAAATCATCAAATGTCATGCTGTGACATGGCACTCTTTATATTCACTGTACCAGTAAATGGTCCATGTGCACACACACACACAAACGTTGCTATCTGTAAATGAAAAACATCATTCTGAGTGTGCTTCATGTACACTGATGCACCTGACAGGCTGTGAATGAGGATATAGGTTGACAGGAGGGGGATTATAGACTGCAGAACAGCCTCCCATTTCATGAACCATCAAGCAGCAGAAGTGCCCCAGGCATGCAAACCTGGAAATGTAATGTGGAAACTCAGAGTATCAGGAGCTGACTACAAACAACTGTCTATAATCAGGAATACAACATTAGTGATATTCTGGTTTAGGTAATTTCACTTTTACTTTTATTAATTAAAAAACGTGCAAATTTAAAACCATATTAATTTAATATTTTAATATATTTAATTAAGCATATTTTAATTCCCCTACAACCTCCCACTGTATGATAATTGTAATTCCATGTGGAGTTGCGTCTTTTAAAGAGTCCTCTGAATTAAGAGATAAGGCAGAAATATAGAAGCATGTTTTAAGATCCCACAACCTTTCTCTAATGGAGCTCCATTTAGGATACAGCAAAATTAAGATCATGTTAAACTATTCTAATAAAAAAAAAATTTCTGTTCCAGTTATATTCAGACAGGCAATTTTTTTTTTAATGCTGCAGCTTTTTAATTTTTTTCTTTCATGTTCTTTATTATTAGCATAATAAAAACATTTAAAAATTAATAAAGCATGAAGCAATTTTTAAAACCATTTACCAACCTATAGAAAATTTCTATTTTGTTTGGACAATTAATGCTACTCCTTAACTGAGTCTGGTTGATAAGTTTCCATTGGTGCAGACCTGCTCTTGGAGTGCTTCATATCACACTTTAATTTGAGGCTATTTGGCCTGAAAAGCACTTAATGTGGTGGAGGAAGAGTGTGTACGGGTAAGAGTGGAAATGGGCCAATAAAACTATGTTAACAGCAGCTGGGAACTTAATGCTAACATCAGCATACTGACATGAAAAAGTCATGGCATTACTTTTAGCTATCATATATTTATTTATTGCAAATCGCTTAGTCTACGAACTGCAAAGACAAAATTTATCAGAAATGTTCATAATTACATGGTTAGCATCCCATTTGCTATCAGCATTAAAATGTGAGACAAGGCCTCAAAGGAAACCATCAGTAGGATAGTTGCGTTCTAATATTTGGTGGATTTGTAGTAATTAGTCACAAAGTAAATTTTGGACAGTGTAGATCTTTTCCTCATGATGGTGCCAACTTGAATGCCATAGTAATCCAATAACTGAGGACAAACATTTCATACTAATCTGCAAAGTTGGAGCCCATGTGATACTCTGGGAAAAATTAAAACAATAACCAACATTGTTGTGATACATGTTATTGGGAACAACAAATGCCAGTGGGCTACCTCATTTTGTGTGAAATTATGATAAATTCTGTAAGACTGATTTGATATTCAAACAAAAAAAAGATCAAAACACTGTCACTAGGAAATCACACTGAACACTTAACCATTTAATAGATACATTACGTCCGTCAAATTACAACTGGACACCCCCCCCCCCCCCCCCGAGTGAAATGCCATACTGATTTCATCACAACACACCAAGTCCTTGTGTGTCCTCTTTGTATGCAGCTTCTTTGCTACTGCAGCAACAAAAACTGTGCAGTGCAAAACAATACACACTGATGTTATCCTCTTCTTCTCATAGTCCAAAGATTCTTTAGACATTTTAGAAATGACTCAACTGATGTAGTTGAACCATTTTTTTAATGTGTCGTACAACTTTGGAGTCTTGTTGTTAATCTCAAAATCTGTCACTCTTTTTTGATTAGTCACCATAGCAACTTGATCTGGACCATCTTAAAAGTCCTACAGATGAGATGTATAAAATATATGAGAAAGCAAACAAATCAATATTTAGTCATTTGTGTTTATTTAAAAGAAGAAGAAGAAGAACTCTAGACTCTGTTAGGCCACAGTACTGATATATATGCATCCATGATATATGAAGATAGAGCTTCTAACTGGCATAGCTGATATTTGATAACTGGTAAATGAAATCATTGACCATCTTCCAGTTTTTATAGTTTATGATAAGAACTGTACAATTAATAAACTGAACAGAAAAAATAACAATGCAGGTGTGTAAGAGATAAATGTCTAAATGCTTTTAAAACAATGGAATGACAGAGCTGGGTGGAAATAAGATGAGAATAGAAAAAAAAATGACATGTGATGTCAGTGGTGCATATAAATGTAATGTCCATGGATAACAAAGGGTCTACAAAATACATCTTAAAAGCATCATGCAATTTGAATAAAACTAAAATAATGTTATTATGATCATGAAAGCAGAAATATGCATGTGAAGATTTAAATCAATGGAGTTGATATTGAAAGAGTAAATTAAAAACAGACTTGGGATAATAAAAGTTACAAGATTTCGTTTTCCAGGTTTATTCAGATTTTGCAATCAGCATTGATGTGTGGCTGTAAAGTCATAAAGTTGCCAAAACTATGTGATTATATTTTTATTTTACATGGTGTATAAATTCTGTGTAATCCGAAATATATTTAGTGTTGTTATTGAGGTTTCATTAAGGAAACTGGATAAAAAGTAATGCATATTTTATTGAGAATGCTTAGGATTAAACAAGAGTACATGTCTTCCACTGCTTTTAAGATATGTACAGTTAATCAGCAAATGTTAATGTGATATTTTGCTTGATTTTGTTTCATGCAGCTTTCGGTATACTGTTTACATGTTTTTAAAAAAAATCACCAAACAAAAAACAAGATGTTACTCTATTGCAGCACAAAATGCGCCATATGTATGCAGCTGCTAACATATTGCACCTGCACATGCACTGATTCATCTCTGCTAATGCATAAAGAAAATCCTCATTTGGCACACACTCTGAGGAGTGTTCCTGTCATGTACTCATAATATCCCTGGGGAGTAAAGAGACTACAGCATCACCTGACCTGTTCACACCTTTGCATCATAATCAGCCCAGGAACAAACGATGCAAAAGAGAGTATTCCCCCTCTTCTGCAGCAAAACGTGAGTCACTTTTAATTGATTAGAAACTAAAAAAGAAAACAGAAAAAACAGATATTGGAGATGAGATATGGGGCTTAACATATAGAATGTGCCTCCCAACTCAGTATCCATCAGAGGCTGTAATGCAGAGAGCTTTACCTTCAATCACCTTCAGCCAAGCAAATCTAATCTTTTTTAAAGAAAAGGCTGCAATGGAGTACTTAAATTCACCAATCTAAGTACTAATAAGATCACTCAGATTCATTTGAAACACTGAGTTCTGCAGACTCTATGTGGGCCCTTCACTCTTGCTGGCTCAGCAAATTTGACTTTGCACACACTCCCAGTGTATTTTTACTGTATAACATTAAACTGAGTACCATCATCCCTATAGAGCATCCGCACACTAAAGCAAACCAATAAAATAACAGAAACAAAAACAAAACAGTGAGAAAATGAAAAAAATGAAACAAATGAAAATCTGTTACATATAACAATTTAATGTTTGTGCACTAAAAATCTATCGTCGCTCACTGTTAATCAGTTTATAATCATCTGTGTCATAATCAGCCAATGAAAGTCAATTAATATTTGTTTAACAGTGAAATAAAATTCAGTTCTCAAGTTCTATCTCACTCATACGTGCTTTGTTTATTATGTAACATTATACTGCAGCGCTACATGATGCTACGCACCAGTCATTAAGGGACTTACTGGCATGCTTTAAAAGTTCCACTATAGCAGATTCTCTAATACGAGACCCTGCATTAAAAGGAGAAGTGCTAAGACTGTCTGCTCTAATTACCCCTGAGCCATTTATTCTCTCTTTTTCTCTGTGCAGGGCTTTTTTTCTACATTCATCCAGGATGTGTGTAATGAGGCTAGGTGCCTCTGTGACAACTTGCCACACAGCAAAAGAACCAGTAACAGAATGCTTGGACATAGAGGGAAAATGCAGCTTACCTTGCAGAGAGATGTCTCCTAACCAAGGAGAGCGGAAAACAGGGTCAGATATGTTCTTAAAGAGATGAGAGAAGTCTTAATAGTCTGCCCTTTGACTCATCCCACCCTTGAAATACATTGCAAAAAAAGAAAAAAAAAGTAGTAGCAGGTCCCAGTGTCACCTGGGGGAGGTTTCTGTCCTAGAAGACACACATAAACGAGACTCAGTTTGTTGCTAATGCGTGCTCAGATCGGGCAGGGAGGAGAGGATACACTCATTAACATTGTTCTAACACAGTGAAATAAGCACAAGCACCAGAGCCGGTGCAGGTCCACTGCTGTATTTCCCGGCACTGCATGCTCATTGGCTAAGGAGCAACTCAATAACACCTCTCCTCGTCATCAGTTGGATAGGGAGGGGTCTAGATTTTCTTTGGCACACTAATAGCTGTGCTCCTCCTCTTTTCTTCCTCACTCTATCACTTTTTCCCTCAGTACAAGCAGACAGGGACTGCTGAGCTTTGAGAATTAGACGCAGGAGGAAAACCAGAAAGGGGGGGACAAAGAGAGGAGCAGGAGGGAGTATAAAAACAGGGGGATCGATGAGTGATGAAAAGAAGGGTGAACGTGGAAACCAGCAGTCTGCAGTGCCTCTCAAAACAGAGCTCGATTTAAGGTGCTGTACCTCCCTGCTGCAGGAACTGTATGGGGACCTGAGTGCAGTGAGGTGTGAGCGGAGAGGATAGAGGAAAAGGGGGAGGAGGTGAAAGGGAGAGAGAGGATGGGAGAGGGGGAGTGACTTGGGCTGTTTTTGCTGCAGTATAGAGGCAAGCAGAACACAGATGGGAAGTTTGTTGTTTTTTTTCTGAAGCAGTTAATGTGAAGCAGAAATGGCAAAGTAGTTCACCCACTCTACAGAAGCACCCAACATGTAACTGGTAAATAATTTAGAAAGTAGGATGAGACACATAACTGTGTCATTCACATGGGAGATAGTATTCAACAACAAAAAGTGCAAAGGTCAGTGAGTCAAGGTGATATATGTAGAGCTTTAATGCAGCAGGATGCCAGCAGAGAAATGTCTAGTTTGGTTTGACAGCATATTACTGTATACTTGTCTACTGGCCATCTCTTTAAGGTTTTGTGATATACCATAAGCTTTAAGACGGCTGTTTTTTTGTTTTTGTTTTCTTTTTTTTACTTTTCACATATTTATTTAGTATCTTGGTTTTTAAAGAATGAAACTGACTAAATGAAATCTCATTCTGCCATCTTAATTTGAAATATGGTAGCTGGACAGCCTTCCTCTGCAGTTTCCTCCAGAAAAATCCACGTACTGTGTGGTCGGGGAGAAGCATAAAAATACACAATTTCCAGAGGCACCAATTTCCCCAAACAGTACCTGTAAATGTTTAAAAGAAATGAGGAGGAATGTGTTTGTTTGCGCATAACAGTATCCACTTCTCATTCCTCCTTAACAGCCTAAATCTTTGGCAAATGAAAAGTGTGCTCAGACAGTCTATCCAGCTGATTTACTGGTGCAACATTTGTTAATGAAAAGCAACGACAGGACACTGTTGTGACGGCCAGTTTCACCATTACGCTTATTAAACCTTCTGGGACCATAGCCAAAACTCTGCAGCAAATGGCAGTCAGGCTACCCTTCAAGAGCGACGCACCATTTCGTTGCCTTTGGCGTTACCCTTGACATCCTGTAGCAGTGACCGGGCAGTGCTCGGCGCATTACCCACAATTAGAGCAACACCGCAAGATGTGTCACAGATGCTGCATCACTGAAGCATCCAGGTTTTTTATGAACTTTACATTCTGCTGTGCTGATTTGCTCCTATTCTTGATCAGAGGGGAGGATGATGGAGAAAAAAAAGTTTTGATAGAATCCAATTATTCAGCCAGAAGATATTTGGTGATTGCCTCCTGCTGAACGTTATAGCAATAAATTGGAATAGATGAAAGGTGGTAATTCAACATGGAGATTAGAGGCAGAATATGTGCCTGAAGCAGCTGTGAAGGTCTGGTTTCATAAAGGTGAAGCAGGGAGTCTAATGAGGCTCACATATAAAATGAAGATGTAATAGTGAAACGAGACAAAGAATACAATGATGTTAGCTGCACTATGAGGATGAACAGCTGTGCTTTGAACCAAACGTCTCCCTGCTACCTTTCTACAGGTATCTTTGTAACCACACATTTTTGGTCTGCAGTTGCTGGCCTCACCAACATATCCAGTGCTTTTCCTTGTGGTTTCCCTCAATGCTCCCTCCACTCACTCGGAGTAACTGTTTGAGACAGATGGCTGCCGTCCACGGACCTCTTTCTTCTAGGGAGTTCTTTCTGCTATTTGGAGTATATCCAAAAACTACATTAACAATTTTTTAACAGAATTTCTGGATATCTGCAGTATATATTTTTTGCCTTACAGCAATGTTTTGATCTCAAAGTAGAAGAAAAACCCGTAATCCTCACTCTACTATTAATATATTTTTTGGTGGATATAATATATTATTTAATGCATGTTTTTACACAGTCCATCTGTGATATAATGACGCCTTTCATTGGGAGCTGGAAACCTTTTCAGTGCAGGATCTAAATTAGACAGGAAGTCTCTTGCTCCATGACCCTATTGCGGCATGTCAGCATCCAGGGAACAGCTAGAAGTAGGCTTGAGACCCATTATGGCTCATAGCCCACAGGTTAAAGCTGCACTATGCAAATTAAGCAAGTACCTTAAAATGTCAGGAAACAATGGAGCCCATCTATTTAAAGACATATAAATTACACTTGACTGTGTTGATCTTTGTTGACCTCTAAAAGTCATGTTTGCGGGTTTTATTGTGACTTATGGATATAGTTTTCATTTGACAGTCTATCCTTTTATTTCTAGTTCCTCTAGATGTCATTACTTAATTGAAACACTAGAGGGCGCCACACTCAAATAATCTGAATAAAGCTGCCTTTTCTTTTTTAGCTGGGTCACTCATTAAGATGTAGGTTTTGAACACTTTTCCCTTTTTTATTACTTTGCCACCAGAATAGTTTTATTTATCCATTCCTTTTAAAAAATTTTATATCAGTTGGCTACTGTGACTTAAAAGCACATTTTGCCAGCTGAGCTACTGATCCCTAAAATAACCCATGGGAGATGGAGCACTAGGGCTAATTTTGTCAGCCTGTGTGTGAACCCATGCATCTCTGTAACCTGGATATCTCTGGCATTCTGCCTGGTACTGTATCACTATGCCAATGACTTCAAGACCAAATAGTTACAAGTTCAGTATTATACACTGGTATTATTATTACGGACGTTCTGGCATGCTCTAGTACTTTTGGGTCTGTAAGAGTCACATGAACAACACTGCTGTCTCCAGTTTCTTACTGGACTTCATCCAGAAGCCTCATATACTCAGTAGCAATATTGGCATTGAAAGGGAAAGGTATTAGATAAATGTGTGGATATGGAAAAAAATTATAAAGAAAATATGAATTTCAAAACTGAGTTTAAACCTGTATTTATCTTTCAGGTAGTATTGAATTTTAAAAACAGCATTTTTAAATGTGTTTGGCTTACCTAACCTGCTCAAAGACTTTGTGTACAATTACATGGAATCCATTATTTGTATTTGGAGCAACTGAATTCTTTATTTTTGCTCAAATTAGTAGCACACTTAATTAGTAAATAAAGTAAATCAGTACCAACAGGCCTAAAAAATGAAGTGTTACTATATTCTAAAAACCTCAGCAAGCATAGCTTGTTTTATCAACGTAAACAATTGCAATCTATATAAATATATAACACCATAAGTGTACTCCATGTATAATCCCTGCTTTATTTTTTCCCTCCATAGAGCTTTTACAGATTATCATAGCACAATATTAAGTTTTTATTTAAACTGCTGTACACAATAGAAGCCATTACATGGCAGTGGTTACAATTTACAGAAAACAATGTATTGAAAAAATAAAACCAGAAATTAAATAGTTTATTGGTATAAACTCATTGATGTTACATGTAGTTCTCCTACGAGGAACAGAAGATCCATCCTGCAAAATTCTTGGTGTTAGATGATAAAATAGGAAAGAACAGTGTCTGACAAATTCATAATTTAGTTACAATAGACTTTGTTGTTGGGGAAAAAGCTGATTGTGGGCAAGGATATGGACTTAAAAATGCAGTTGTAGCGATACTGATGATATTTAATATTTAATTGTAATTATTTTTCATCATAATTCATTGTTCATCATAATATTTGTTAGCGCTTGGCGATAGATCAGTCTACATCCATTAGGCAGTGTGGTCACCAGCCATATATACATGTTCTTCCAGGAATCCAGCACCTTCCTGCAGGGAAACAAAGACATTATTTAAACTACAAAAGTTTTTTTTTTATCAGTGTGGATGACCATTTTAGAAACACTGTCAGGCACCTGAGACTGCAAAGGCCCCTTTCCTTCTGAGTCTAATTTGGGATTGGATCAGTTGAACAAATAGCAAAAACATATGCTAAGGAATAAATTAAGCTGCAAAAACAGCAGTGATTTGAAACAAAGCACACATAAATAATTTTCTTGTATTTTTTTAATGTGTTGTACTGTTTAAGTGTTAAGAAGTGACCTACAAATAAAATGCTCCTGAAGGAAGCTTCTGCAGCTACTTCTGCTGAGTTGATGAAATGTGATTAAGTCTCCAAACTGAGTGCATGGGGAGTCATTACAGTTTTAATTTATGGGTGCTACTGATTGGAGCATTTCAGTGGCAGTGGCCATGTTTTCCAAGTTTAGTTCTCTCCAAGTATGGACACCAAGTCATTTAGGCAGCTGGTGAAGACACACATAGATCAACCTATCCAATGGATCTTATTTAATTGTTTTGACACAAATGTCCAGCTACAACAGCACTACAATCAAAGCTAACCCCGAAATATTACCGTTCTGTTAAAAGTGTTGTGACAAAGTTGTATACTTGGTGTACTGATATTCTGAGAGCAAATAAAGTGTCAAAGTATAAAAAATAAATAAATCAGATTTCTCACCTGTGAGCGTCACGATGTCAGCTTATTTCTTGTCGGCATCTGCAATCACTGGCTCTGTATAACAAAGACACGTGATATTCAAGATACTGGGTACTGGCAAAGCAAGTCCTACAGCTGAAATAGAGTTTTTACACATATCCAAAAGACCTCGGATTTTAGTACAGCTTTAAGATCCCGACTTACGTTTGAACTCCAGCTTGCAGCTGACAGTTGCCTCTCCGTGATCATTCTTGGCTCTGCAGGAGTACACACCTCCGTCAAAGTTGCCAGGCTTTCGGATCTCCA